CTGGATGACTGAGAAAACAAACTTTGTGTTTTTGAAACCATTAGTGAAAAGGCCAGACTTCAGGGGTATCTGAGGCAGGCTTGAAACACAAGAGTCAGGGTGGCTTCTGGGTAATACCAGATGGCTAGGCCTCAGACTGACGAAGCCTCTTGGATGAGGGGCGAAACGTTTCTTTTTAACAAAAAAAACGAAGTCCAGATGACATGATTCAACCTTTTTTGTTGTTATATACCTGGATGACTGAGAAAACAAACTTTGTGTTTTTGAAACCATTAGTGAAAAGGCCAGACTTCAGGGGTATCTGAGGCAGGCTTGAAACACAAGAGTCAGGGTGGCTTCTGGGTAATACCAGATGGCTAGGCCTCAGACTGACGAAGCCTCTTGGATGAGGGGCGAAACGTTTCTTTTTAACAAAAAAAACGAAGTCCAGATTACATGATTCAACCTTTTTTGTTGTTATATACCTGGATGACTGAGAAAACAAACTTTGTGTCTATCTCTGACTGTTTGGACACTCCTGGCTGATTGTCCCAGTTGGGGTTTGGTGGCCTCTCTGGTTGGGGGGCTGGGTGTTGGTCTGGGAATCGGGTTGGGGTGTCTGGACGGTTTCGGGATGGGTCTGGGTTGCTGGCCCTGGTTCTGGTTGGTCCTCCGGGGCTATGTGCCGGTCCGTGGCCTTGATCCCTGGTGATGCGGCTGCCACCTCCTCCTAGGTATCTCTGTTAGAGCCTCTGTCCCCTGGTGGATCTCGGAGAGTGGGGGTGCCTATTGGGGTCAGTGGGGGAGCTGGTCCCCTGGGGGGGCATTGCCACCTCAATTCACCTCCCCATCCCGACATCCTCCTCCGCCCACTCCACCACACCACCACTCAAACAGGGTTTTGGGGTTCAGGTGCACTACTAAGCTACGGGGAGAATCATCCATCTCCGTGGCTGGTGGGGTCCTGGGCCCTAATTTTAATATACAACCTAGACACTCACTTATAACACTCTCACGACACAGGCATATATAGGATCTGGAGTGGGCACATGATCGCACTTAGGTGGTGGGATGTACTACCATTTCCACCTCCCCGGACCTGTGCCCACTCTCATATGTAGCATGTAGACATTTTAGGGTTCTGGGCGGAGATGAGGGGTGAACGGGCACCGCCTGCTCTCTGTGCAAGAGGTGGGTCTGTGCCGGTCGCCACCTCATCCCCCCATTTTAAACGCACTGTATAACAACATGCATCAACACCATATTCGAGTGGGAGGAGGAGGAAGTGGGTCTGTTCATAATTTATTTATGCATATATAGATTTTTTTTACATTTTTTTTTCTTTTTTTCTTTTTTCCACAAACACCTCCTTTCTCCGTGTGACACTAGGGGGTCTGGGATGGAGGGGGGGGGGGGCGCATTGTTGGGGTCTGGGCTGTGGGTGGGCTTTGGGCCTTGGGGGCGGTCAGTGATGGGGCCGGTGCTTCGGTTCCTCCTGGGTTGTTCCGATTCTTTTAATCTAGGTTCCTGGTTGTGATGGCCGGCACTTTGACCGGGGTGGCTGCCGGCTTTCGGCGGGGGGTCGGCTACGGTAGTGTACGTGTGGTCATTGGTGGTGTAGGGCGGCGGTTGGGGGCGTGGCTTCGCCTCATCAGGGCACTGGCTGGTCTTCCTGTGTGGCATTTGCGGTGGGGTGCTGTGTGTGTGGGGGGGTGCATGGGTGGCGTGCTGGGGCGTCTCCGGGCCTATGGTGCGGGGCTCTTAATGTGGGGGCCGGCCCTCCTCAGTTGCGGCTCCCTGCTGCTCTGCCCCTTGGGCTGGGGCCGCCCTGTGGTCGCTGTCAGATAGATGTTGCATGCGGTCAGCCCGACAGGCTATCTGTGTGTGTCTGTTGGTTGCTCAGGTTGGGTTTTTGGTGGTCCCCCCTCTCTTGGATCAATTTGGGCCCCACTCCCCCCGGTCGTGCCCCCCTTTGGCGGGGGACCCGCTTGCCGCCGGTGCATTGGTGGCTCTCGGTGTCTGGGCTGGGTGTTAGGGTGCACTTCGGTCCGCCCTGGTTGCTGCCTGGCGGGGCCTGGGTGCCCTAGCTCTGTCGGGGCGTGGTATGGCCTCGGGGCTTGGGGCTCGGTGTCCATGGCCGGATCTACTTGGGGGGGGGCATGGGTCGCCGGCCAGACCTGTGGGCTCGTCGCTGCAGCTTCCTGGAGGCTCTGCATTGTGGTGGCTGGGGTCACCCGGTTCTTTCCTCTGCTTCTCTCTGGGGGTGTGTGGTTCTCCCTGTTGGGAGACTCCTGGGGCTCCGGGACTGTGGGCCGCTGTGTGTCTGTGGCTCCGGTCCTCCCTATGTTGCCA